TTTCCCGGTATTCTGAGTGGTCTCCCTGAAACTAGCAGGTATAAACTTGCTTGTTTTGTTTAGCGAACTCCTCCATCTTAATCTCCATCTAAAGAGGAGAACAATAGCCTTTTTTTTCTGTGGGATTCCCAGAAGCTGAGACCATCTCTGGTGCTCATCCAGGAAACACCAGAGCTGTGAGCTAAAAGGGAAAAATGATTTTCTACTACGGATGACATCAATCCTCTGAGTCTGAGCTCTTTTTAAAAAGCTAATCTGGTCCTAACTTAAATGTTTGTTGGTCATTCAGGCTCTACAGAAGGCAGAGTGTGGAAAAAATGCTCAACTTTTAGCAGATTTTACAGACTTTACAGAACCCTTTTTCTGCTTTAACCCTTTAAAACCCGATCCAAGAATAAAACAAAACAGAAACTTACTTTTTTTTGTTTTAAGTCTATAGATGGCCTTTTAACAAAATAAGTAAAAAGATAAAACGGAAATACATTTTTAATATTAATAATTTATTACTATGAGATAGGTCAAGATTATTTTTTGTGTAGTCTTCTGCCCCCTGTTATCAGGTGTATCTGATTGTGTACAATAGGATTTTGAGCAATTTTTTTACCATTAAATTATGCAAAAGGTGTCAGACGCAAAACATTTCAGAAACCTTATGTATCAAATACGATACATTTAGCATTACAGGGTTAAGGACTCACCATGAACTTTCCTCCCTGTTCCTCTCTGCCTGTCAACCAAAAGGTTGCATATTCCCTCAAAACCACAACCATTCGCTCGTGAGAAAGAGCGAAAACGTGTGAGGCAACGTTTTTATTTCGCGGCTCCATAAATCCTCCATCTCCCACCTCCCTGAAGAGGTTTGTTTGGAAGGTTTCAGCCATCCGGAGCCCAGTTCTGCTTCATTTTGGGGAAAGGAGGGCCGTTATAATGAGGGGTCCTGCTGGGAAACGCTGGATACCATCACCCCGAGGCCCCCTTATGTTTCCTGGGGGGGGGGGGG